ATATATATCATTGTAAATCCATGTGTGTTCTTCAAATTATATATTAGTCGTTGAAACAAAAAATTATGACAACAAGGCATGTTATTGAACACTGTTTATTTTCAAAAGAAATTTTAGACCAGACTCTGGCCTTCATCAGCTTTACTGAATGCACATGATTGGCTGTTGGAAGTTGTATATGTATATACACATACATAAAATAGTGTTTCACCCACAGCTTATTAATACTTTATCATTTTAATTATCATTACTAATAACTATTAACCTGCTATTAGTATTATTACTAAATCATCAGCAAGTAATAACCTACAAACCTATTTGTTGCACTCTCATATTATGCACCACACAACATCCTTACAAAATTCACTATGGTACAATCATTTAAAATTTGAATATTGATTGGTGTTGGGTGGGTGTTAGCAGTGTGGAATATACCGTTGCCTGATGTGGGCAAGCAATTAATCCCACATATGACACAGCAAAACTTGATTAAATGGGTAGGTAGTGTAATGGGGTAGTGGGCTAGGAAGGATGGAGGAGTATTATTTAATTTGTAACTACAGGTAGTTGGATAATTGGTAGGAAAGAGATTGTGTGCTCCTATCAAAGTTACTTAATGACGATAATACTTTGTTTTTTGAAAAAACCGATATACAGGTAATTTTGAAAAAAGTATTTTAATTTCAATTGGTTTTGCAGTTAAAAATTTAGACCAAGAGCCGTATATAGTCAAAATGAAAGACAGGCAAGCGACAAGACTGATATCTATCAATCAATCAATCAATCAGACAGGTCAGAGGATGGGTAGGACAGGTGTAAAATAGAAAAACAAACAAACAAGAACGGGGAACTAACCCCACTTTCCATGACAACTGGCTTGGATGTGTCGATTATATTGATCTGAAGCAAGATACTATGCACCTTAATTAAAATTGGTGTAACTTATGAATTTTGGGTATGAGAAATCACACAGGTGGCTCATGTCCTCTTGCATCAATGCTGTTTATTGATGTCTTCACAGGATAATGACGTTGTTTACCTGTTGGAAAAACCCATCCTAGTTGTGTGTGCGAATCATCCAGCCTTAGAATGCCACATTGGACACTGAATACAAGAGTTAGATAGCACAAGGGCAAGGGACATTTTGGCACTGGCATCGCCATTAGCGTATCCAGGGGGAAAACAGCTCGCTCCCCCAGTGGGTCCCCTTCCCCCACTGGAATGTTGGAAGTACTGTAAAAAAAATTACACTCACATGGTTAAAAATCACCTGTCACCTTATTTTGCGGGCTAGCGCCCCCTTCACTTAATCTCTGAACCCCCTCTTGACCTTTGAACCCAATCTTGACCTTTGCACCCCCTCCCCCAATCAATCTCCCATTTCAAGACCCCTAGATACTCCACTGGGCTCCACATTATGGCCACCACAAGTCGCCAGGAGCTCAGCAAATATAGCTTATTCCAAATGAGGATCTAGAGGGGGAGTTTATTTGGGTTGGTGGGGGGGGGGCGTTTATTCACAGCATGGCAATTATTCGAATAAATATGGTATAAATGCATTTATATAGCACTGCTACAGTAGCATCGCAGTGCTGGAAAAAAAAATGTAACAGTAACAAAAGCAATAACATAATATATTGTATGTAAATTTATAAATATATACAGTACTGTATTTCATTTCATTTCATTTATTTCGCCAACAATTAAAAAAAAAAGACAGCAATATCATTTTTGGTGGCAGGATAGCAAATTTAATTGCTGTGGAAAGTTTTTTTCTCCGACAAGGGTACGAATGGTGAATGCTGATAATATTAAGAAATTCAGTTATATATTCAAAATCATCAATTGAATGAAACATGAATTCAGTAACATAATGTAGGCCTTAGGCATTTAAGTGAAAGGTTTTATGTTATATATTTTGTTTTAGTTGAATGATATTGCTCATCTATTTTGGGATTTTTTTTATGATAATATAATTATTGGCGATTTCCAAAACATCAGGTTTTATGAGCTCTTTGGGATTTCCCACACATTGTTAAATGTCATATATATTTATATCAACATCAGGCCACGTCAGACAACTTTATAACCAGGTGATATGGAGTCTATTTTAGCCACAGTAATTTAATAAGCTGGGGAAGGGGCACACCTCCAAGATATTACTTACTACACTTAAAACACTCCTAAATTACAAAGAGAAGCTCTGAGCATACTATTTTAAATCCCCTCCCACCTTAAAATAAATGGAAATCTTCTATGTTGAACTGTGTTTGTTCTGTCACGGACCCTATTATATGGTCTGTGGTTCTATGCTGAATATCCATGGCGGCAAGGCTATGAATTATCACCAGGGAAATGGAAGGCTACTAAATTTGCACACAATTTCAAAAAAAAAAAACACCCGGGCCTTGTGTGCTTCCCCACCTAGTCCCTTCCCCCACCCCCTGAAAATGTTATTTCGCTAACAAGCTTCCCCTCAGTTACTCATATTTTGTGATTTTCCGTATATATTTTTTTTTTTAGATTTTAATATTAATTTTTTAGTTACAAAATCCGATTTTAAGGAATAAATAATGAACTAACGTAAACTTAAATTGATTGTAACATCTTATTCTGCAAAATATATTTACTGTGATCCTTTAAAATATGTGATTCTTTTCGTAGTCTGTTAAAACATTCAAATGTACTGTTAATGTATACTTATCTTTTATAATACTCAATCATTTTATGTATTGATTGAATTAAATTGAGATCACACAAATGAATAATGAATATCTATTATAGTAATAATACTACTATTTTATTATAAACTGTGCTATTAAACTTAAATAATTTCCTAATTTAATATCTAGTGTTTAACAGGTCGCAGTAAATGTGTATTGTAACAAGCATGGCCAAATTACGTTTTGCATAAGTGCATTATCTAAACAGCTGTTCACAGTCAACAGTACACTTTTTGCTTCAAGTCAAGAGGGTCCATGATTGTCAGGTTTCCTGGAACTGTGCAGGCTTAGGTCAGTAAACTAAAAACATTTACTGTACTAACAAGCTCCTTAGCAGGTGGCCCTTGACTTCAGGTTCACCATTTGGCTCACGAAAGAACATTGTGCTAATAACAGTTTCCACATGGAAAATGATATGTACAGTAATTATAGGGAATGGCTTAGTGGGGAACATGTCCCCCTATTATCCTCAGGATGTCATTGTCAAAATTTCAAATTCCTTTGGTAAAAAAGCAAAATTTTCCTTTTCTTTCTGAATCTTTGGTTATGTTCCTTATGGACTCCCTTAACCTACTCGGCAACATTTTTTAAACTTATTATTAGCACATTTTCTAAATTAACCCTTCTGAGTACATGTTCAGGAAACTGAGACCTATTAATGGTAGTTTCCCCCAATATTTTTGACCAAAAAATACCTCATACCCCACCTCCCACTCCAGTTATCCTGTGCAATGCCAAAATCATTTTTAAATATCACCACAATATCAAAGGGCATCCTTGTTTTCTATACATTTTCATATGTTTATTATGCAACACATGGTTATCATTTACACATGAACTGACAAAATAATGAAAAGAGAAATTAATATAATATTCAATATTTATTATCAATAAAAACAAAAAATAATAATACATTTTTGAAGTGGAAATGTATTTGGCTGCATGCTTAAAGCAAAATATTTTATATAACTGTATATCAAAAAAGATTTTAAAATATAATATTCTTTTCATACCACCAACTCTCTTTAAATTTAGCCCGTATTGCTCATAAGGATTCTACTGGTCTGAAGAATATAGAAGTGCTATTTGTAAAAATGTTGTACCCCATCATCCTCCCCCCTTAGAAAAATTCTGGATCCACCCCCTGGTACCGTATGTTGGTGAGGGAAATATTTCTCTTTACAGCTTTCTATTACCGTAATTAAATGTTTAGAATTATTGAATGTTGATGCTGAATTTTATTAGTCTGACATATTTTTACCACAAATTATTCTCGGTCAGTGGCATTTTCGGTTTTTTTGTGTGTTGTGACTGATTATTTAATTAAGACTTATTAGTCAATATACAACAATATTTCCACTTATTTTGTCAACTACCATTCAAAAGTTAATAGCCTGTCATATACATATACGTGGAGCTTAAAAAATGTGACCAATTGACATGTTTAAACAAGTTCAGTCACAAGATGTTGAGTCACGAGAAATAATAGAGCCCACCTCAGCAGGCTGATGAAACCTGCACAATAGCAGAAGCTTCTAGGCTTATGAATATTCATGACGTCACAATGTAATTCACTCAACCTTGCTGATTGCGTGGGCAGTGTTTAACAAACAGGATTTTCCACTGCTAAGGGTCACGACAGGAAATAAATTTTAACAGCACTAATTTTTGTTGTTGTAATATTACACTTATCAGAATTAGTTGCTGTTGAAAACTGTTATTATATTATAATATGGAATATTTTAATTTTAATAGTAAAGTATATCATCATATATATACAAAAATTAAGAAGAATGTTTTTAAATTTTATTGTGAAGATTTGATAACTGCGAACAATAATGTTGTTAAATATTTCAGGTTGGGAATAATAATCGATAGCACATGATCATAATTGAGATAAAAGGTTGTGTAGAGAAGGGAATACCATCAAGCAAATGAGGATATGGGGATTCCCTTGTACAGCACTTAAGTTTAACTGGCTATGGAACTAAAGTTTTGTTCAGATATTTTATTTTGTTTTATGCCCATATATAGTCATGATGTACCTATATTTGGTCATGATGTGATGTCATCATGACCATATTTAGGCATGTCACATGAAATTTGATATTCTGGGCAAAGCTTAAAAACATACAGTAGAACATGGTCAACTTTGCTTAACAGCTTCCCATGCAACTATAGAGATATGTTGGTAACAGATTAATGATTGATATTCTAGTTGTGTTTTTGATATTGTAGTTGTTTGTTTTTTTTGAATTTATGAATAAAAGATACCGAGATATATATAATGATAAATACATAATCAACAAATAGGCCTATATCTTATTTTTATAATAAATTATTACTAATACTCAATCACTATATGTTGCTATGGTGATGTGCAATAAAGATTCAATAAAATGACTGTAAAACTCATGCTTTTGATGTACAACAGTATATTGTGTTGTCATTATTTTTCTTTTAATTTTATTGCCTTCCTTGCAGTGTTATTATTGAAGTTATTTCTGTACTGATTATTGAGTAAAATAATTTTCCTGTTTTTGAGAATTTTTCTGTGACCAACCAGTGGCATAAAATGGGGGTGCTGATGACGGGAGGGGGAGAACGAAGGTGAAGTGGAGGGGGGGGCTCAATGATCAGTTGAGGGGCACTAATTTGCAAAATAAGGAGATTTTAGGTTATTTTTAACTACTTGACCGTGATTTGTTGGGGGGGGGGGGGGTTAGGGG